ACAGATATTAATCCCACAATCATTCATTTTACTCTTTGTCACTCTACCCCCACAGCTTTCTCTCCAGCCATGGAAAATCATATCTCTTCCCCAATCAACAGTGGAACTCTGGAGTACAAGTCCGGTCTCCCCCCCATCTCCCCAGGGAGTTATTCCCCCCTTCCTAAGCACTTACTGGGGGAAGAGGATATAAACAGGTTGGATGGTTTTTCCTTCTTACGGTAATTACCTCCCACCAGACTACTAGAAGTACAGGTAGAAGCTTTGGCCACCCTACTCCTCCTGTCTCCTCATCCTGACTGATTTGTGTTTGTGTTGCAATTCAAAAAGCAATCACATCTCCAATGGGAGATATGTTGCAATTTGAAAAGATCACCTGCTATCTTTGTGAAATCCCACTAATCCCAAAGTCTGTTTCTCCCTACAGTGTTTTTCAAAGATGGCCCCACAAAAAAAAAAATTCTGTGCGGATAAAAATGCTCCCTTGATCCCCGACAAGGGCCTGCAATATTTATATCCTCATCACATTTGATCTAAAATATTTATAAAATACAGGTTCCACAGAAACAGTTATTTGAAAACCACTGTTCTGTTGTAGTCCAGCATTTATGTTATGCTGTGTTCTGTTTGCAGCTGAATGTCTCTTTTATGATTTCTTCTTGTGTGGTGCCATTGTCACTTACGTCTGCTCCAGGTTTCAACTAACAACAACTAAACATAACAGAGCCATGGTTCTGTAGTGTTTTATTGTTGGTGGCTGTGATGGTTGTTTAGAAAGGCTTTTGTAATGTTGTTAAAGGGGATGTGTAGAGAAAGACAGTGTATCTGCTGCTCTCGTCTGTTAGGACGGCATCAGAAGTCATCTTGCTGTTTCATTTGTGTTTTCTTATGGATTTTCATACGGCTTAAGATGAATCGTGGCACATACCCATTGTTGGACCTTGGTGCGTCTGTTTGGAATCTCTTTGTCACATCTGTAAAGATAAGCCACAATAATTAGGAGCAACACAGGCAGTGGTGCATGCAACAAAAAAACATTTTTATGAAGCAGTGCAGAAAAGGGAAACGGCACACGAGCAGTGGTGTGTGTGTGTGTGTGTGTGTGTGTGTGTGTGTGTGTGTGTGTGTGTGTGT